AGATGTTATATGTGTTATGTTTAAAATTTCGTAGATTTTGGAGACTGTTTGGTATGCCTAATAATTTGGGGCTTTAGCTGCTTTTTGTGAAAATTACTAGATATTAGCCGGTTGAGATTTAGCTGCAGTTGTTGGGCCTAAAATCACTAGAAAATCACGTTAAACTTAGAGTTTGAGTTTTGGCTTGAAACGAGATAGATAGCTGGTTGAGTAGAAAACTCTAGTTCGGCCTTTTCTCGGTCAGACCGGATGAACTCTAGATTCGAGTAGAAAAAGTTGGGCATCGGCTGATGTCGTGTCCGTGCTTATGTACCCGGACCACAGTTAAGCCGAGTTGTACCCAGTGAGATGAGCAACCGGTCTGCTCAGATCGAGCCGCCGTTCCAGTTCAGTCAAATCGGTTTGGATAGTTTGGACGATTCGAGAATAGCAGTTCGGAATACCGGTTTGAGCGTGAACCGAAATTCAGTATTTTTCTGAACCCAGTCAGATAAGTCAAATCAGAATAAGCTAGATCAGATAAAAAAATCAGTTAAGCAGACCAGACTTAGAAATATTTCAGATAACTCTAGAATGCCTCAAAGTCAACAAATCTTTCCAAAATAGCTCAAGTCCTGCAAATTCAAATTAAATGATTTTATAATCGAGTGAGAGAACCTAGTAAGATCAGATAATAATAAGAATCAAGTTTTCAGTTTGAACTTAGTACTTAGTACTTTCTGCTCAATAATTTGTGTAGCTTAAGGAGAGTCGAGCCTTCGACAGCTACCATTCAACCAGCACTTGCATCAGTAGCAGTTTACCAGGTGGGGGTCACGTACTGGTTATACATCGTCTTTAATTTCCGTACCATGTCCGAGGTATGTATGAGAAATAGTTAGTTCAACATGAGGGAGGCCGTGGCGAGCCTTAAAGATCCCCCGTGGTTCTTAGGGAGGCCTTAATTGGCCTTAATGATCCCCCGGAGTGTGCACATGATTGGCTTTTAAGCCCCAGGGTCTTTATGACCACCAAATGCCCCAGTTACAGTTTCAGTTCAGATCAGTCCTTATATACTTAAAGTCGTGATATTGTTATTAACAATGCTGTATAATTAAGTACTGGTCTTTGCGGAGCATAGTGGTTTTGCTCACGCCCCCATTACGTTTTTCAGGTGACGGAGCGGCGCGTGGTGCGTGAGATTTCGGTGGTGGTCGTGGTCATTAGCAGTCTTTTTGTAACGCATCTACATGTCATTTATTGAACATGTACTATTATTACTATGCGTAGACATATTATGTTTCAGCTTCCGCACATTTCAGACTTAGTATGTATTATGAGATTTTCAGACTTATGCATGTATAATGCCTTTATCTCCGTGGTACTTTTGTACAACGGATTTGATTAGGTTGCATGTATTTATTTACGTCTGCATGAGAAAGAGTTTAAGTTAGTAGCATCCCGCGAGTTAGTATGAGAATTTAGAAAATAAAGTTAACGAGTTTTTCGAAAATAAAAAGCACAAATTTTACTATGATTTTATAAATCCTAGAATAATTAGGCGGGGTGTTACAACTTGTCCACGGAATGTGTATTGACAATATTTGCAGAGTCTTCTTATCCGTCCATTATTTCTGTTAAAAGAACAGTGTTTTCAATATTATATCATACCGGGCGAAAATATAAGGGTTATACCGTCAATATTGGAAAATACTGGTCCAAAAAACTGGTCGTACAATAAAATTAAAGAAATTAAAATTATTATTTTCAACAAAATAAATGATATTTTGAATGTTTCTAGTAAGAACCGATATTACCAGTCCAACTGATAATACTGTTTATCAGTGGGTAGATAGTTATGGCCACCGATACGAAATTTAAAACACTAGTACAAAATGTCCCTATATATACCTACATAGATTTCACAATGAATTAAACACAACAAAGACGCCATACAAGTTCTTGTTCTTTAAAATCATGTGGGGTTTAACATTGCCAGAAACAAAGGAAGAACATTTTCGCTATATACGTGAAGGATTCGCGCAAAGATGGCTTCCATCAGCTGAGGAATCTTTTTGTGTCATACTTCACATTACATTCAGTCAGAAGGATTAAACTCCGAGCATGACGTATATATGGCATTCGACAGAATATACAAAAGTACCTTGGTATGAAGTCGGTCAACATCTGACTTTGCAAGAATGCTATACCATATTCATGTGCTTGAAAGAAAGGTACCGAACATTTAAATATTTCATAGAACATCCATTAGGTGATTTCGACATACACACAAAGACCATCTATCTTGACGAGGACGATCATGAGGATGCAATTGAGCTAAATTTTACAACAATTCATTTTGCTTTTACCTTTTTTTTTTTCGTTTTCTTATGTAATAGTATTTTTAAATATTGCATTCATAAGTGTGTACAACTCATACATCATGTTCTCTTAGGAATGGGCATTAGCAGCAATCTTGAGCCTCTTTAGGAATGCTTGAAAATAATTTTCGAACCTCTACAGCTTGACCCGTATCCCAGTGAAATTTTAGCGCGACATGAATGTAACTTTCGGAAACTCGACCAAGTGATTCAGGACTACTGGGCCGAAGAACGACGTATGGCAGTTCAACGTAGAAGGAGAGTAAATTGAGAGATTACGGGCGCGCATGTCTTTTTCGAATTGTGGCAATTGTTGCTTTATCATATGTATTCATAATTTCTCTTTTGTCAAAATAAGCCAATTTGATATGTATTCATAATTTCTGTGTTGTCCAAATTAGCCTATTTTATATGTAGTAAAAAATTATTTTTGTTGCGCATGGTAACTTCCCTCTACGATTTGGGTTATTTTGTAAGGCAATTTCATATTTCAGAATAAGTGATCCCGGCTTAGTGAGTCCTTTCTTCCGTGATGAATTGTTGCTCTTTGTCGAAATAACCTAATTTCATAGGCTTATTTGCACCTTATATAAAGTACATCATACGTGACTGCAAGTGTGTCAGACAATGGCAAAATCAAGTGATAAATAAAATGAATACTGAAAAAATATGTAATTATTGATTACGTGAGGTAGTAAAAAAAATTTAAAAAATACAACAATATAAGAGCTACGATTTTCTTTTTTTTTTTAATAATCAATTTTAAGTAGGAAACAAGAGGCATACTTGTGTCAAAGGTTGCCAAACATAATTAAAAGGCATAGCAACTACCGACGTCTGCCACCTTGATCGGCCCATAAGGGGGCAACAATAGAATCGCGCAAAGCACACTGTTCACGCACACCAACATTAGAGGTATCTAAAGTTGTCATCAAAGGCATTGTATGATCATCTTCATCTGGTTCTGGTATGTTTTCCGGGTCTTGTATGGCCGGCGGTACGTTCTCGAACTTTTGGCGCTCAAGGATGAAATTGTGTACAACACAACATTCGATAACTATGTTTGTCTAGAACTCAGGCGTGTAGTTCAGCATTAGGCCTTTTATAATGGGGAACATACCTTTCAATATACCAAATCTATGTTCAACCACATTCCGGACAATACATGACGTCATTTAAATAGCTCTCTCGCATTTTTAGGTATTTGGTTAGAGCGATTCCACTCCGGGAGTTGGTACCTATCTCCACGGTAAGGTGACATGAGTCCCGTGACATTGGCATAGCCTGAGTCCACCATATAATATTTCCTTAAGATTGAAGATAGTGGTGTTAATGAACCAATAAGGTAACGTTAACTTTCATTTCCCTATCAATAAATTTTTCTTCCAATATGTCCGAAAAGGGGAAGAAAAATAAAGACATACCCTCTGGTGGCCACGAGAAAGTATTTGTGGGGTCTGTCAATGTTTTAGCAAAAATACGAGCATCATTCGTGCTACCTTCCCATCCCGCTAAAATAAAAGTTAACTTGCAATCAAAGTCGCACGCGACCATAACGTTTTAGGACAAGTAACCTTTTCGACATCTGTATTTCCCATGATCGTGCTCAGGTACCCAAGCCGGTTTGATGGTTCTTTCGATGGCATCAATGCAATCCCGAAGTAAGAAAAAACATTTCATAAATTGTTTAGGTGATTCATGAAATACAATCTGATTATGCGATTTACCTTAAAGTATGGATATAGATACCGATTCTTTCGTATCCAATCAAGAACACGAGTAAAAATCCGGAGGACGTATGTATTTGAGAGCCAGTGTGCAAAGGGCAGTGATCATGATATGTACATGATTCTAATCGTCTCTGTAGATCATCGAAACGTCTCCGCAGCTTTTCGATGCCTTTGGTGTCCCTTTATCGTATGCAAGAACATCACATCACTTTCTTGAATGCGGACCTTTTGCTGTATTGCATCAGCATAGCAACCCGTCTGTTTTATTTCTTTGCAGAGCAATTTGAAAAGTTTCTTGTTCATACCCATTGCATCGTAGAATCTTTGATCATGCCCCATGAGGAGTTCATTAATCCAGTCCTCCCTGTTGTCCGTGGAATGCCTATATCGGATTCGTGTCATAGGCGGATTAGACTGGAACGCTGCATGCACATGCATAAGTTGTTGACCTTGACTCAAGCATATTGGTAAATTGTTGCAAACGGGATAAATGAGACGACTGAACAACAACATTGATATCTCCATCAATGTTGTCGTTTAATTTTTGACCGACATCATTTTCAAAATCATTGTAATCCTCATCTTCATCAATGTGCGACATCCTACAAATGGAGAATTTGTGGGATCTAGTTTTCAAAATCAACATTTTTTTGTAAATGAAAAAACAAAACATCAATGACCAAACAGAAATAACACCTAAGTCATATAATATCCTGTAGAAACACGGTTAAAGTCAACACAAATGCATATAAAAAAGAAAACAAAAAAAAACCAAAAGAAAAAAAAAAACAAAAACAGACAAGTTCATCAATTTTCAAAGTAGCAGGAAAATAGTTCTAGTGAAATTATGCAATAGTTTGTAGGGAAAAAAAACATCAGCCGTAATTGTCATCCTCTTCCATCCACATATCTAGAAGTGCACGTCGGTTTCTTCCATTTCCAGTCCAAGAAATGTGTACAGGCTCCAAGGGTCACGAAACTTCCTCCAAACTACCTTTCGAACCGGCATAGGAACATCAGCCAAGGACTCCAGCTCCCTTAAAGCATATTGGAGGCTCTTTTGATCAGCTTCTAGACGCGCGTTTTGCTGGATTATGTGGCTTGCTTCAGTAATAGAATTCATGGCATTGCCGAATGTGGAAGTGGTCCCTTTACAGCGACGAGTGCACCTGTCACTGTCTGGGGTATTTATTAGCTCATCACTTAACTCCTTGGGAAATAAGTAGTTGGGCGTCACTGCCGTGTTGGTTCTATGACGCCTGCATGTTCCTTCCGGTGTTCTTGTAGACGCCCTTGCATCGCTACCAGTTGCAATAGTCCCGTTGAAAATTGTGGTCAGCTCACGGTAGTGCACACACACCTGCCTCTTCATGTCCTTGTCCTGTGGACGCCCCTGATTTTGGAAAAGAGTACACTCATAAGAGGTCTTTTTTTACAGGGAAGTTCATCTCAAAATTAGAAAGAAAAATAGTTTGATCCAAATTAACTAACAAAAGGAAACCAAAATATTCTTGTTAAGTCACCAGAATAAACAAAACCTCCGGCCAATGCATATATTTTTTTTTAAAAAATTCAATTGAACATGAAGTACAACTAGTCACAGCATACATAATATCCT